GCACTCCATGCAAGTGTTTACATTCTGTGAATGAACCCATGATTAAACTACCAAACCCAATTGTTTTCTACTGCAACCTTGCTAAGCGTTTGGTGGCTTTAAAGCAAGCCCATGGATTGTGTTAGTTTACTTTATTGATGGGCTGTCCCAATAATGCAATTATAGCAGAGTAGACAATATCTCAAGCCCCAAATTCAGCAGCTTGCATGCAATCACTGGTAAGGGGGGTCCATGTGTGACGTGATACCCTGCAGTGTGCTTTGTCCCTCTTTGATGTTTACTTGTTGGCTGCATTCATTATTAATAAGCTACTACTGTAATTACCTGCCCCAGCAGCAACACTACTTTTCCTGAGCAACAGCTGCCCTCCAGGAGCTCAGACACAGCACAGCTTACCAGTCTGTATTTAGTTCTTAGGTGCTCGGTTATCTCTATCATACAGCACAAGAAGGCACACAGCCTTTCCTCATACACCACTGGGCAGCGCAATTGCCAGTCACCTTTTATATCTCAGTCCATCACCACTATATCACATGTACAGCATTGGACAGTGGTCATTACACAGCATTGAACAGCATAGTTGCCTTTCACTGTAATGTACCGAGAAGCTTAGTTATCATTCACTCCACACTGCTGCATGGCACAGTTACTGCTCATTGTAGATGCCTAGCACAGCTCACAATACAGTTATGCATCAACACATAGAGCCTGGCAGAATGTCCAGCTGTTGCTCATACGGTAATAGGCAGAGCAATTGTTTAACTGTACTGTCCTAGGTATGGTAGCAGCTATATTTTGTTTACACGTACTGTGTCTGGATAGCAAAGCTGTTTTGTACATCATCAAGTAGTATGACTACTTATCCTTCTGTCATGTGGTTTACTGTACTTGTCTATAAAATGCCAGCACTTTTACCATGTTATCTCACTATGAAATTATTGATTTAAAAGTATTCCAAGCATATTTCACATGCATTGGCCTATACAATAAAAAGGAGGATAATTCCTTAGTGCAACCAGACAGAATTTGCTTTAGTAGAGTCATATTGTAATCATCGGCACTGCATGTACATCTACTGCATGCCACAAGGCAACATAGTAACCATGTGGGCTGACTTTGTTTGGTGGTCAAACAGAGTTTTAAACTGGACGTAAAGTTTTTTTTGTTATAAAACAAAAGGAAAAAACAGGCACATGCCATAATGTGCTAGTATGCACAGCATATTACCTTTATGGTCAACTTACTTTGTAAAGGATCCCCTCCAGCGCTATGCTTACCGCTCTCTCCTAGGTTGCTGTTGCTGCTATTTTCTCCTGGTCTTCTTTCAGGTTTGGCATCTTTGGCCACTTCATTGTCCGGCTAGCATGATGTAACTTCTGTGCATGAGCACGGGAGTTACCTTATCTTGGCATGGTGCGCATGCACGTCTCAGTTCAGAGAAAATAGAAAAATTGCTGACAGACAGTTAGGAGATTTTTGGCAGAAGAGATAGTCTCTTCTGCTATAAAAAGCCTGCCTGTCAGCAATTTTTTTAGCAGGAACTTAGTCCACCAATTTAAAGAGACTCTAAGCTCCCGTGATGGACTACAATCTCAATACAAATTAGTAAACTAAACGTGAGACGTATAGTTTACTCATTTGCGAGCTTGGAGCAGTGGCTACTTTACAACACACACAGGGATCATGGGGAACAAACGTATCCACCCTCCAGAAGGAAGGACAGTGTCAGCACTAATTCAGATATGATTTGAGGATCTACAGCTGAGTGATACACAGATAAGTTACATTTTATTTAATAGCTAAGGTACTTGAATGCATTGACGGTTACTTTTAAAGCATGCCAACTGTTAAGGTTGCCGGTGTGCTTATTTCAACTCTCAACCCAACTTTCAAGGCCTCAAATGGTTGATCACATGTGAAGTACTATAGCAACGAAATTCCAGATAGAGGCTACCATAGCACCTTCATTGGCTGTAAACGAGTCATAATGGTTTTGTTTATGCAGCACCCAAAAAAGCAATCTCCCCTCTGTACTTATCTTTAGTCAGTGTATATATATGTCCCAACTTTCTGAGATGTGAAAGAGGGACACCTTCAAGCACAATGTATTTAGACAATGGGAAGTCTACTTTCATGGCCCCAGTTTTGTGGACAATTAGGAATCTATATGCTAAAAATTATTGGGTAAACCCAGAGTAATGGTTTGTTTCTCCACTACTTTTCCATTATACTGCTTTGTTTTGTTTTGTTTTTTAAATAGCAAACAATATAGTTAAGAGATGAGAAAAAGGTTTTAGTTCAGAGTAATTCCCTTGGTAAGTAAATATTACCTTTTTAGAGATATCTGTACATCAGACCAAATAGAGGGACAACTGATGAGCTACTTTTTGTCAGGTTACAGAGCTTTTTGGACTTCAATGGGAAACTTTGTGCGACAAAACACAGAAAAAAACACTTAGGTGTGAACAGAGGCCATATAAATCAATGGGATTCCTTGTCTCAGTGGCGTAACTATCACCATAGCGACCCACGTGGTCGCTATTGGGCCTGGGGTGGAGGGTGCGTGGCCAGGAAACCGGGGCCAAGCAGCTGAGGTGGAGGAGGCCGGGGCACGGTGGTGGCTGCGGTGGAGGAGGGGGCTGGGGTATGGCGGCGGGGGGGGAGGGGGAGTCTGGGGCCCAGCAGTGGCGGTGGAGGAGGTTGGGGCCCGTCGGCAGCTCTGCAGGGTCTATAGTGGGCTCTGCAGGGTCAGTCTCAGGTGGGCTGTGCAGGGTCTATGGTGGGCTCTGCAGGTCTCTGGTGGGCTCTGCAGGGTCACTTAGGTGGGCTCTGCATGGTCTCTGGTATCTGTGAGGTCTCAAGTCGGTGCTGCAGGGCCTTAGGTGGGCTCTGCGGGGTCTCAGATGGGCTCTGCAAGGTCTCAGGTGAGCTCTGCAGGGTCACTTTCACGTGGGCTGTGTGGGGTTTCAGGTGGGCTCTGCAGGGTCTCTGGTATGTGCTGGGTCTCAGGTGGGCTGTGCAGGGTCTATGGTGGGCTGTGTGGGGTCTCAGATTTTGCTCTGCAGGGCCTCAGGTGGGCTCTTCAGGGTCTCTGGTGGACTCTACAGCGTCTCAGGTGGGCTCTGCAGGGTCATTCTCAGGTGGGCTCTGCGGGGCCTATGGTGGGCTCTGCAGGGTGTCTTTTGGGCTTTACAGGAGTGAACGGCGGAGTGATCTGTTCTTTGGCTCTGACGTCAGAGCCATCAGGAGCAGTTCGGAAGAGATGGAGATTGTGCAGGCAAGGGAACGTGTTCTGGATGTAGGTAGTTTTTTTTTTTTTTTCCGGTTGGGGGACAGTTTGGCCTATTCACACCATAGCATTGTGCTAAAGGCATGATATGCATCCTTTTAGTTCACCCCATCACACAACACAAATGCATCACATGTAAGGTGTATTTGTGCGCTGTGTTGCCATTCATTCATTTCCTGGCAGTGCAACGCACCATAACGCAATAGCATACATTGTGTTGCCGTGTCTTGAAAAAAGTAGTGCAATACATGGATATGTTGCCTTTAGCAGAATGTGTGAATAGGCCCTCGCTGTACCCTCAGATGGGCCCTTTGTACAGCAACCCAGTATATATGGTCTGTACACTCTCTCATAAACATATAATCGGATGAATAACTCGGAAGGCTTTGCTGACTTTGTTCTGAAAATAGCAGTTGCCTGGATGCCATACAGTATTGATGATCTGACTTCAAAGCCTACTAAGTCAATAAACCAAAATATGTATGTTAGCTAGTAAAATCACCTTATCAGCATGCAGGCCTGTGCCATGGAAACAAAGCCTTTCACTATAATGAAGTAGCCTGAGGCGGTTGCCCCAGGTGGCATCTGATTGGGGAGCAACAGGGTGGCGGCCACAGCTTCTCTGGTTGCTAAGAACTCTCACCAACCTGTGACGTCCTGTCCGGCTTCCCGCCCAGTTCGCTGATATCACTGGTTGGCAGGAGCTGAGTGGGACTCTCTGGCTGGCCAGTGATGTCAGTGAGCTGGAAGGGATGCCGGACAGAGCCGCTGGAGAGGATCAACCCGACCTTCCGGAACCCCTCTTCCCCCAAAATGACCACATACATATACAGATTGTATTGTATTAGGAGCAACAGCATGATAGCCAGGCCACTAGTATTTTCAAGAGGAAGTCAGCATTGACATTCTATATATTTTATCATGACAGCTTTCCTTTAAATGAATAAATCTAATTAATGTGTTATAGATCTAAGTCAGAGCCAAAAATACATACAACCATTTCCATAGCACGGTGACAATAAATAAACTAGTATACAGTTAATGTACTGAATATACTGCACTGCCATAAAATGGGTAATTTGGAAGCACAGTATAGAGCTGCAGACAGAGCTCTGGGATAGTATAGAAATGCACAGCGCTGTAATTCAAGCAGCGAGATGGCTCATTAAACCAGGGTCCAGGCTATCTCTTAATATATCTAGTGGACAGGACATCTGTTTCTGACAATATAATGCAGGGCAGTGGACTCTCATTTCACAGCACCGGGTAGACCGCTGCCTCAGTGTAAAATGCATTGCTGATAATTCTCGGAATAAATGTTATAGAGGAGCATAGCAATCCATCAGTGGGCAGCTCAGGGTTGTACAGTTATCTGTTAACAGCCAGCTGTACAGTATGTCAGCATGCAGAGGTGGGCACGGTAATTATCTCTTTATTTGTAGTAGTGGGCAGCATAGTTATCTCTCTGAATACAGCAAAAGCCAGAGCAGCTGTCAATCCTTATGCAGCTTTGGATGGTAGATTTTTGGTGAACACAAAAGCTTTGAAGTGCAGCAATCTTTCTGAATATTGCTCCGTATTAATATATAGGTCTGAGTAGCAGAGTCATTGCTCTCAGCCTCTACTTCTCTCCAGCTTATTGTCATAGTTCCTCCTCTCCTCTCCCTCTCCCCACTTCTCCTCATTCCCCTCCCTGTTCTCTCTTATTCTGTATCTGTGTGTCCCTCCTCTTTGCTCGCTTCTTCTCCCTTACCCTGAGTGTTTTGCCTGCTCTCTCACCCTTCTCACTCTGATTTGGTTCCCTCTGTGCCTCTCCCTTCGCCTTCTTCGTTTTGACTGTCTCTAGCCATTATAGCATGTGTGCGTGTGCGCACGGTCATATTACTGTCCCTTTTCCATGCTGTACAGCTGCAGATTCACCTTTGGATTTTTGCCCCTTTTCCTCTCTTTTTTCCCCTTGCTTAGTGTCAATGGATGTGTGTCCTTGTGCTCCTATGTGTCCTTGCTTGGTGCATGTGAATCGGTTTGCCTTATTTTTTTTGTATGTGCGCTGACTTCTGCACAGGGTAACTATGTCATTGTGTCAGAAGGATTAATCCTTTACCTGTGATTAGCCTGTGCCACGGCGCAGATCAACCTGTGTGCGATTGTGTGATGCATGTTATTGTGTGGATACAGAGAGAATTGTATTAAGGTCTTTCCGTGTTATCCTCTGGTTGGAGATGGAAAAGAGAAAAGGCGGCTCGAAGCAGCGAAAAATGAAGGCCAGGTACAGATATCATCTATCTATTAATTTGATATCGATGTTTCTGTCTATGCAGCCAGTCGTGCTAGTCTAACTAGCGCTGTCTGAAAAGGATACATGTATTTCCAGGCTTGTGAGCATCCTTATGTACAGCTCTGCTAATGCAAAGATAATTTGGTCATTCCCTGCATACCGGCTTACGTATTGAGGCTACTTAGATTTGAACTGAACATTTACATATGATGCTATTAATATTTTGCTCTTTGTCTTCGCTGTTGTGTTTATACATATTCATTCTAATGTATGTCTTTCTGTGTTACACTTCTGCAAGATATCAGTACCCAGGTGTATCTGTGAAGCATCCCTGCCCTAACGCCCCCCGTTCTTTCCAGCTCTTCTACCTATCATCCTCCCCTTCTTCCTGCTCCCCATGCACACATCATTCTCCCCCACTCATGTTAGCATTCAGCAGTCGTCCTGAGAACCAATGTAGTCTTTGTGCATCTCTGGCCTGCCGTCTGCATTCATCTCATGTAGCTACACTTCAGCTGCATTATTGACCCCCCATTCCACCGACTGACCCATGAGACCTGAATGTGCACTGAGAGTAGGTGGATGAATGGTTCCTAGAGGAACATCAAAAAAAAAAAGCTGTGTCTGAGAAACGTAAGGGATAAAGAAAGATGGCCACACATATTCCAGAACTATGGAAATGGGAGCTACCGAGAAACAGCATAAAGAATGGATAAAACAATTGATGATATACAGTATAATAATATTATACTTTACAGAGAAGGAACAGAATATGGAGATTGCAGCAGATAACACCATGCAACTCAGGAACAGGGAGGAATATACACGCAGTATCAAGGGAGACAGCTATGTATTCAAGAGATAGCGTATTACCAGCAAATTGCTTTTCTGCTTATAGGCAAACAAAAATCTAACATTATTGGTATACTGATGATGCCAGCACACATTGGAAGAGGTAGAAAGCTGCTGCACAAATTGCACAGATTTAGCACTATTTGGAAAAGGGTCTGCATGTGCTTGAAAAGCCAGCAGACCACAGATAATCCCAAAGCTTATTTTACAAGATCACAGAGGCTTCTCACACTTCTTGCCTTGAGAAGCAATCAGCTGTTTGAGTGCTTACATGGACTAGTAAGGTCCAGCAGCTATGTAGTAAAGCAAATATATGTGCTTCAGTGGTAGCCTTTGTCTCTGGCCTGGAGGTAGTGGATTATCACATTTTAAGGTGTTGGGTCATGCACATATTATTTGCAAAAGGGATCATTGTAGACCTCCATCGGTACTCGTCATTAGTGATGAGCCGAACACCCCCGTGTTCGGTTCTAACTCGAACTTTCGAACATGGAAAAAGTTCTAACTCGAACTTAGAACTCATCATGTGCATGGACTATTGTCAACTTCACTAGCCAATACTTATCTGCCTGGATATAATTCTGTTGGGTTGAAGGTGAGATTGGTGAAGGAGTGTACAGTATTAAAATCCACTGTGGTAATTCTTTTGTATGTAATTCTTTTTTTTAGTGCATCATTTTTTTAAACAGTGGCCATGATGTGATTCCTAGACTGATAGTATATGAAGAGAACCTTGTATATGTTCATAAATATTAATTTTAAAATCTCTTGCAGGTTATTTAAACTTGTGGAGAGAAAGCTATTAAACAGTACTCAGTGCCAGGCAGCTGCTGCAAAGGCAAAATCCTGGGTTGTATTATAACTCAACTCTAGCCAATACTTTTTTTTAGTTTTTAATAGAGTTGGAAGTATCTAATTAGTAAAGATGAGAAAGCATTGTCACGTATCTTTAAAATGATGTGAATTTCATCGTTTTCTGAAGAACTGTACATTTCAAATGTGTCCAGTTGTGCAATTCATTAATCCAGGCAGTCATTAATTATGAGTTGTTTGATTCTCACCAGACTGGAAAAATATGCACACAAATATTGAGACACATTGAAAAAGGTAACAATTAGCTAATTTGCTCAATTGTACTGAAATACAGTATACTGTATAGTTATAGTATAGCTTAGCTGACCTAAAGTCATTTATTGCTATATTACAGTCCTATGCTAATAGAAGCACTGGACCCCCTTTAATTGTCTTCAGAACCTGAAAGCAGCCATACATCTGCTCTCTGTCAAGGGGTGGAAGCTATGCTCAGATAGATTTACTGAATGGCCAGCTGTGCTTCAACATCACCCTTTGCAAGAGAGCACGTGTCCTGCCTCCTAACATTGGATTTACTACAACCTCCTCCAGCGGATGGAACTAGAAACAGCAATTCATACTATAACGTTTAGAACAATCACTCCTCTGATTAATGCTAAAGAGTTAATCTGACTGCCTTTTATCGAGCCAAGAGGTGCATTTACTCTAAAACAGATGCTTCTATAAGATTTTGGTTTTCAACTTCTTCTGAATTAGCAGTATTAAAAAGTTATTAAGGAGGAAGCAGACTTAATCTAATTGTCTCCTTTAGATTGACCAGTGACTGTGTAGTGTTAGGGCCCATCTGACTGGACATAAATTGAATGGATTTATTAGGCATAATATTGAATGGGCACAGAGTATACACTCAGATTGTAATGTGTGTGCCTGCCTTATATAGGATGAACTTACTAGACTTTGGATGTACTGTATTTCAACCTATGAGTCATATTTATAAAACATTTCTCTGCGTATTTCCTAGACTTTAATTGCATATTCGCCGGCATCTAATTTTCAATAGCAAAAGGTGTTTACTGTAACAGTTATCTTAATTGTTACAGGCCAAACGTTTGTTTGTTCCTGCACAATAACTGTTTAAAAACATCTCTTTTTAAACATTTGGCAAGTAAGATTATAATCATTGCATTTTCAAATGAAAATGAAATGATTGCCCATGGCGACCTATGTTCATATAGCTGAAATTGTTTTTAACGCAGGTTCAGTACCAGGGTATTTTATTTTTAATGGAAAAAAACATGTCCTTGGGTAGTAGCATTGGGGGAGGTAAACATTAACAAAATTATCTAAAAAAATAAAATAAAAGTTAACCATTCCAGTCATTCAAACATGTGAAGCATGGATTCTTTATCCTCCACTGAGGGACACAGTAATGTAGTAATGTTTTTAACATTTGGGTTATATGCTGCTGCCTACAGTAGGTGTAGAAACTGGTAAACAGAAAAAAAATGTTGAAGGCCAACCCCCATATAACCCCATCCCTAACTGCTTTGCTTTAGTTTTTTTGCTAGTTTCCTAGGAGGTTGGACATTTATTCCTCAGCTCCGCTGAGAAAAAACATATTTTTTTGTTTGCTAGCCTATTTATTCAGATTTTTTTTTCTGAGATACTAGGTGATATTATTTTCTTTCTTGGGTGACTGCAATCAAGCCTGCACAAATGCAGCTTGAGGTAGTCACTTCACAACAGCTATTCTGATTGGCATATCTTCAGCAACAGCTTTGGAGGCCGTACCCAATTCCCGTTGGGCTGAAGATTGTGTGGCTAGATGGAATGTGACCTTTTGGGTGCTGGGCTCTGCATTGTTGCACTTTCCAGACCTTTGTGTACGATGTTACTTAGCTGCAGAGCGCTCTCCAGGTCCAGAGCCATGATATAGCCTCACATGTGACCCAGTCTTTGGTGACTCAGTTAGTAGTTTTCGGTCAGTCTGGAGCACCAAGTGCTATCTCACTGTTGTACAGTTGCACACTTCTATATATTTTCCACCAACTGTTGATTTCACTGCGGTAAGGCTGAGGGACTTGATAGTTGACATGATCAGTTAGGTGGAGTGCCGCACACACCCGCTTTGGCACCATACAGCCTAAAGGTAGCACCATCTCACTTCTACTCCCGCTCTTAAAACATCCAGTGGATCTCCGATTCTATCTCTGTTCCATTCTACTGCTCCCCTACAGTGACTTGATCAACTCTGAAACCTTCATCAGCAACAGCAACTCAGATTTGTGGGTACATGAGGCCTTGCCTCACATTGGGTCTAGTTGCTTACCTCCATGTGGTGCAATGTGTCTTCTCATACTCCCCTAATAATTCTGGGGGGAATTTTTTTATATTTTCAAATAGAATCATCACCTGTAATCTGGAACCCAGGACCTCTATTGTATAGGATTTTCATCTATGGAGTCTATTTTAGCTCCATCGAGAAAGGCTAGGTCCTTCAACATCCTAGCTGTTCCTAGCTTCCTAGCTGTTTGTGCCCAGCTACTGGAATATTCTGACGAGGCATGCACTGGCGCCATCTCTGGCAGACTCTGTCTCTGACACAGTCTCAGACTGTGAGTCAAACCAGGTTTGCAGGACTGTTATCATTCTGATTCAAATATAGAATCCCAACAGTCAGGAGAGACTGTTTTTTGTTTCACCTCAGTCTCCTGAAGGTGACTCAAATATACAAGGGGTTGTTTTGAAACATTTTTGATGCAGCGGCTATCACCCTGTTTCTGGTGGATCAGCTAGCGGTTATAATCCTGGGGTTTTTTAGGGCTTCTACAGCTGCTAAGAACTTGATGCTACAACAATTATTTAAAGACCTCCTTTATATGGACTGGAAACACCAGGAAGGGTCCTGGTCCCACCTAAGACTGTGCCAGAGCATTTCTCCTTTTAATAAGGGGCTCACTAATCCCAAATGTGGATGCTGCAATAATACATTTTCACCTGTATATAGCGATAGAAGGCATATATATCTTTAGGAACTTCACTGATATGAAGTTGAATTCCATTCTTAGATTCCAGTTTAAGGTATTTGGTTTGGCCCTCTGTCCTTTGTTAGCAGTAAATCTGATCTATCCAACAATGTCAGGTGGTGGATTAAACTCTGCAGTGAAGTTCCTCTCACTGCTAAGCTACACTACCTTGTTATGGTGTGGTTGGATTGATGTCTGGAGGCTTTTGCTTTACTGATGGTTTATTAGAAGCCTCTGAACTGGTGTCCTAAATGGGAACAATGTCTGTACAATTGCATAAGTCACTCTGGCTATGTGCCT